GGGAGAGATAAGTGGACCAAGTTCCTTGAAAGGTCACATTGGAATCACATGGAGATTGAGTTATTTTGGAGAGTAAATTAAGCAGCATTTAGGCTGGCAGTGGAAATTCATTCATTAATTAACACTGCTTGCAGGAATGAAATTCTACCCGTATTTTCAAAATGCTCCTATTCCAGATTGGTCTCATGGCCTTCCTAGTTCTGGGCTCTGATGACCAGACGCCATCCTCAGCTGCAGCTCTGGGACCCCCAGGCAAGCATCAGGGATCCAGGACAGGTTTGATCTGTGCCATCAGTGCTTGGCCATAGTGAAGGGTGAAAATGTTGGTGGCCTGTGCTCTGCTTTGCCTCTTTCAGTCATGCTGAGCAGCCCGTGGTGGGTCACCCCAAGGTCATTGACAGTGCTTGTTGAGTTCCCAGTAGCTTCACAGTCATCTGCGTATGGAGATAGAATTTGTCTTGTGGATTTAAGACATATATGTGTCTTACATGTCATGTGTATGTCTTACATGTCATGTGTATGTCTTACATGTCTATGTTTAATACCCGCTGGTTTTAATGAATGAAGCTCGATGAACAGTTACAGGATTTGTAGGCAAACCCCAAGTCAAATTTCACCATCGAACTGCAGGTAGCCTGGAGTGAGGGATGGTCCTCTCACTGAATTCAGATGCCCAGCCATGCACATACTGGGCCAGGTCTGCTCTCATTTACACCAGAGCAATTTCTGGTGTGAGAACTGAATTTATGCCATTGGGATTCAAACATAAAAAGAAGAAATCTTTTGAAAGTTAAAGTCTGTCTTTTTCCCTTTGCCACCATGATCTTCGTGCAAAAATAATTATTCATAGCATCAGTACAGAATCTCAGATATCACAGGGAATCTGCAATGTACCTATTGTCTACTGCCATGTGGAATTAGAGCGCAGGGCATAAAAGGAGAACATAGATAGCGGTAAAATTTGAGCATAGTACTGAACATGGTTTCTTCATGTTGCAGAATTGCTCACAGATGAACCATCATTTCAGGTTTTTCCTGGCCAAGAAATTTTTGTGGCCCTAAAACCTGTTTGTTTCAGCCCATATTAACAAAGGAATGGTTTTCCTCCATAAAGCACTGCAAACTCTTACAGCAGATGTCAATTTATGTCAACATCAGCTGATTTTCTTCTCCATTACCCTTTCTGCTGGATCTTTGCTTATCTAGCAGGTCGTCTCTTCTTGACATCCAATGTCATGTTGAATGTTTTCTCACATTTGGTGGTAGAAAACTTGACTCAGTCTTTCTCAAAAATTGGTGTCATCATCCGCATGATGGTCATTATGCATTATTGATAGTGATGGAAAAGTCACGAATACACACATCTTTGCTGCGGGGCCTTAGCCTTTTTCTTTGGCTTATTGTTGCTTTATCGTCTCTCTGCATTTTAGTAATAATGTCAACTGAGATATTTCATGCTGCCTTCTCCACGAAGGAGTAGCAGTACCCTGGTCCTGGTGCTGCAGCCATAATCCTTTTTCCTGCTGTAGTTTGAGTGGAGTTATGCGGGTTTTTACTTCATCACAGAACTCTAGGAAACATTTCAGATATCAAAAAGCTATTTTCTAGGGGAATCCTGGCTCTTACTGACGCAGAATTAAGAATAAAGTCTTGTACAGCAAGTACTTTGAAGTTAATAAATAACTCATACGTTTTCCCCCACTTTTACAATGTAACTCATAAAATTGGGAAAATAGCATTAAAAGGAAGTCCCAGTACTGTATCATGTAGTCAGGCGAATAACTTTTTAATATAAATATGGAAATTAATTCATATAAATATGAATTATAAATATGAATTATATGTTAGCATTATGAACACAAAGAGTAGTGTAAACAAACAGTGGAAGACCCAGTCACCTTTGAACAGGAGCCCAGCTTGCTCTCTTACCAGTTCTGTGGGCCACGCTTCTGGGAAGGCTGCCAGCCAAGCCTGGTCCAGGGTACAGAAGATTTTCCCAACTCAATTTAAACTCGCCACTTGCTGCAGCAGTCGCGGAGAGTCTTTATTTGGAGGGATCCTAGACTGCTTAACAAATCAACCTGGAGCCTGTGCCCAGAGTTCCTGTCTTCTGCCAGAAAATGAAAATACTTCTGGAGTGAAACAGGATAATTGCTTAATAGCGAATACTTTTATAAAGCATGCAGAGCAGAGCAGGAGTGATGCAGAGAGGGCTTTATGGAACAGGAGTGCATTTGTCTTCAGCTTTCTGGCTCATGCCAAGGAAAACTCTCCAAATCCTTTCTGCTACCGTATATACTATCAAAACCCACCCTCGATACTTTGATGGCTCAGTACTGATTGGGGGGGGGGGCGGGGAGGAAGCGTTGCATTGATTGAATGAACTAAATGCAGCTTCTAGCAAGGTACAGCAGGTTTTGGTATGACCAGTAAAAAAATAAATCTGTGCAATTTACTCTGTGTGTTGTGTCAGAACCCTCTCAAAACAGACACGACTGCAAACCTGGCCATCTTCTCTAATGCTTCCATGGCCAAAGCCACCCCACAAGACAGGTTCTTGGGGACATTCTGCCACTTTTGTAACTCGCTGGGTCTCCCTTGGTGTCGATGAGGGGAGGAAGCCTCCGGAGAGTTTCTGAGGAGAGCCTTGGCTTTGTATCACCCTCTGTCCCCTGAAAACAGCCAAGAACTGGGACTGTAATGGCACGCTGCATTGCTAATCCCTCTTCCTCTGGCATTTGAAGAGGAGAGATAATTATGAAGATGGTTAATAGATGGAAAAGGAGGATTGTTTCATTCTTTACCTTGCCTGCTTTTGATGCGATTTAGTCATAATGAGAGTTTTTGATAAGTGAGCTTCGGATTGAGTCACTGGTATCTCGAGTGAGTAAATAGATTTTGGTATTAGTCCGAGGAGCAAAGCAGAGCTGCTCTTGGAAGCTGGAAGGTGGAAAGGGGGAGGCAAGCATCTCTGGAGAGGGGAGAGGATCCTTGGCTCTCGGTCTTGCCGGCTCGGTGGAATCACCTTGAATTGCCCTGGGGCAGCTGATGAGGCGTCCGAGCAACCTCCGCGCTCGCTGAAGCCCGTGGAGATGCAGACACCCGATAGGTTTGAGGGCCAACATGCCTCAAGTGGTATTTGTGGCACAGTGTGTTGGAGGGGTGAAACCCAAGGCGCAGAGACACGCGTTAGCGCCTAGATCCTGCTGGTTCTCATTAGAGTCTTTTGCTCGTTATGCACAGAGACACCAGGGTAAAAGACTTTGAAATGAGTTTGTTGGTGCATAACATCACAATTCTGAATTCAGGAATAGGGAAATATTATCTTTGAGACACAAGGTAATTGTTGACATAGTTGTCTTAATGTTTGTTTTTATTTCCGTTAGAAAAATCCTGGAAACCATGAGTGCAGAATAATGAAATGATGCACTTTTTCTGGTAATGATGGAGCCAATAAAAGGCAGCCATTGAGAATAACGTCCCAACAGCCAAAGCACTTCATCAATCTCAGCTGCTGCTTCTACGAACATATTGTATAATAACGGGTGTTCTTCTACAAAACAATATAAAAGTCTCTCTCTCCTTCCCCTAAATATCACCAGGGGAAGCCATTAATTCTACTCTAGTGTTAATCTATTCTATTATGATGATATATCCATTAGTGGGTATCATGTATCCATTAAACTTTCCACCCTCACACATAAAGAAATAACAATAGTTCATTGTTAGAAAGGCTAAATGATGGGGTTTTTTTTAAGTAACTGATTATATACTTATCTGACTTTTCCTCCAGGAGGCCAGCCTCCACATCAGACTTAACCCCATATTCCCAGCTGCAAACACGAGCCAACACTGCATGGATTTGGGGATCTAGCTGGGGAACATCCCTTCATTCAATTAGTAGCCCATCATGAGCTGGAACGCAAATAAAAGCCGCAGGCAGGTCCTGGCTCAGCAGGGCACAGAGTGAGGAAACCAAGCACTGGGCTTCTGGCAGCAGTGGAAACAGTGCATTCAGTGATAAATATCTGACTGCTGTAGCATGGGGGAAAAATCGATAATATTCTTAATAAAATGAATAACACATTCCACAGCTCCTTGAGCTATTATTTCAGCTTTCCCTGCAGATTATGCATATATTGACACTCAAGTCATGCTTGCAAAGTTATCTTTACTCAGAAGCATATGTACTTCCAGCAGAAAAGTTGAGATTGTGGAGCACAACTGCAACAAGGAGTAAATTCACACGTATTTCAAATCATGATGGACAGGACCCTACTCAGGCTAGTTTAAGAAACCTTATGTAGGTGTTATGAACTTTGTGGGATGAGGTGCTGGAATGCAGGGCTTTGAAGGAAAGCCTAAAATAGGCTACCTAGCCGTCAGCACATCTTTGAAATGAGACCCAAGTGTAAAAAAGTGCCTTTGTGAGAGCATACAGATATTTACAAACATAGTTGTAATTCCTGCGTAGCCAGTCAATGGGCCACTCGGTGCCTGGAAATCCCAGCAACAGGCTGAATCCTGGGCTTACTGCAAACGACCCAAAACAGCCTCATCTGCCAGGAAACGAGAACGTTCCTGTCATCTGCACGCACTTTTAGACACAATTCATAGTACTTAATTTTGCTGAGTTGTTATTAGTTCTGGGTTTTGTATGATTCCACTATGTCCCTGCTAATTTGCATGTCTATTAATAATATTAAATTCTTACTCAAAATCCCATAGAGAAAATAGCAAGTTTCCTAACATCCTTGCAGAGGATTAAGTGTAACCCAGAGTCTTTATGAGCACTCCTGTGTCTTTCCACTGCTTTTACCTTATCATTTCCAACTTAAAAGGCTATTGATAAGACTGCAGGACTGCCAAGGTATAATGCATGATTTATTATGTACAGTAGGTGACCGGTAGTTAACTTTTATCTCAAAATGAATGTTATTTTGTTGTTGTGTTTTTTTCTTCCCCCTGCAGCTTTCCCTGGGAGATTCGTGTTTTTGTCAGTGACAAGATGACAACTCGTATTTTTACCAAAGGAACCAGTGAGTCATCCTGTTAACTCTGCTGAAATACATGCTTGCCCATCGTCCTGCCACGGTAAGTCTGTGGGCTTTTGCGTTCTCTCTGGAAACATTATTCAGGACTTAGTCCGTATGTATTTGGTAGTACAAATAATCTTTAGGTAAAGCAGTAACTTCTCAGTGACGACCACAGACCAAAATAGACCAAATATTGCATATCACACCTTTTTTTTTTTAATTTATTAAAGTATTTGAGAGCAAATGAGAAGACTGACTGTGCCTCATACCATGCCATTTACAAGGGCTTGGTGTGTTTGAACCTGGAGGCCGTGTACAAAGGAACATCGTGTGTTGTGGGGACCGATACAAAGGAATAATACATCTGGCCTTGAAAACGTTGCCCTTGTGAGGGGATCCACATGCAGCTGAGAACAAACGTGCCGTGAGTCAATGGTGGAAAAAGTTTGACATCCATAAAATCCCAGATCTCCAGGATGACATTACATGGATTATGTATTTGTACCGGTTGCCCGAAGTAAACTCCCTGTTCGTTTTGTCCCTCCTGAGAACTCCCAGCTCATTGAGCCAGTGTCCCGTAACGTTTCGGCAGACGCATAGGCTGCTCGGTTCCTTTCCCAGCTTTGTGCTACAGGAGGGTATGGCTGCCCTTGGGTTGTACTGCTTTGCAAACCGTTTTCGCCTGGGAGAAGGGCCGGTGCAGGCTGGTACACAGCTCTGTTGTATTTCCTTGTTCCTTGGGTTGGGTTGGAGAAAAGGTAGGACACTTTTTTGTTGATAAAGTCTCTCCTTTTCTGCTTACTCGTTCTGTCCTTGAAGGTGATGTTCTGTGACATAGTCCAAGCAAATTGCTTTCTGCTTAAGCGTTTTTTGCACAACACGCAACGTTATCTCACAGGAGAAGAGCATATGGCCTTGAGTTATTATTTGTTCTTTCAGGGTAACTAGACGGTAACTGTGCTGAAAACTCATGGCAAGTCACCCGTTATCTCATGATAACAGAATAAATAAACTGTATCTTCACTGCCTGTATTAACATTAATGGAAGGAAAAACTCATGAAAAACACTGTCAAACCGGTTTAAGTATGTCCCCATTTAGGATACCCCAGATGCTTTACTGCTTTGCTTGTGTCATACACATTTAAATTATGGATGGGACTCCTTCCGCACTTGACATTCCTCGCTTCAGAACTAATGCCAGCTGCAGTCCTTAAGTCAGTGAGCATGGAAAGTGCTTTAAAATGACCAGCTTAATAGAGAAATGTATCTTTGGATTAAACTAAAGCTTTAGCAAGGTATCATGGAAATCATTAGTGATGTGTATGATGTGTACGCAGCAAAGCCAATACAGAGACCGAAGGGGAGAATTGCAATGGTTACTCTGAGCATCTCCAGTGTAACCTCAAAAGCAAGGCTACTGCAGCAGCTGACAAGGTACTTTGCTTGATCTGTAAAAGGTCCCTTCACAACTGATTTCAAGTGCAAAATAAAGACAATTGGAGCATTAAAGTATTCCACATAATTGCTGTAAAACAGAGAACTAGGGGAGCAGATAAAAGCGAAGGGGAGAGAATGGAGCTATCACAGCTGCACAAAACCTATTTCAGATGCACTCTGCTTGAGAAGGGCTGCACATTGCAAACCCTTTGAAAGTACACTGAAGCAACATTATAGCGTATATAAAAAGAGAATCTGAAAACGGTGGGTAAAATATGAGCTAAATTTGATGAGACTGTCCTCTAGACTGTGTCTGTTTCTATGAAAGCTGTGTGGAACATGAAAGCTATCATTAGTGTGGCAAATTTTCTTCATTCAGATGTAAAGCCAGATCTGCTTTTGGTTTTTTGATGAAGCTGTTGTATGGCAGAGTGCTGAGGTGGTTGACTAAATCTGTCAGCTGAGGGTGACGGAGCCCTGGCCCAGGCTGCCCAGGGAGGTTGTGGAGTCTCCTTCTCTGGAGATATTCCAGACCCGCGTGGACAAGGTCCTGTGCAGCCTGCTCTGGGTGACCCTGCTTCGGTAGGGGGGTTGGACTAGATGACCCACAGAGGTCCCTTCCAACCCCTAACATTCTGTGATTCTGTGATTCTGTGATTCTGTGATTCTGTGATTGTAAAACCAAACTTATGGTTGTTTGGTCCAAACCCTGCTGAAGAAAATTAAAGCCTCTAATTTCAATACAAAAATAATCAATAAAAATTAGCAAAACTATGTTTAATGATCCCACAGTAACTAAACAGTTTTCCACATTGCAATCACTCCATCAGCTGAAGGTGACAACTCAAGGACAAGTTGGAACTTGAATCAGGGAAATATTTTTCTAACCTTACAATAAGGATAATATATCACGAAACTTCACTAGGTGTGATCCATCTTATTCTGTGCTTCTTTAGACAGCACATGTGAAAGAAAACACCCTGAAAACTACTTTTCCTCGTTGCTTTATGTGGCAGAGACCTTAAATCAGGCAGGATTCAGAGTCCATTGCAGTTCATAGTAACATTTTAAATCCCATAAACAAATAACTACGAAAAGTCACTAGGAGAGAGTCTCTGGAAGTTACAAATCCTGATGGAGTGACGAAAACCCCCTCTTTTCCAAACACAGTTTCAAAGGCTGTTTGTTCCTTTCTCTGCCACGGTGCTAGCGTTTATGCAGCCTTTCATTTGTCAATGTACAGACTTTCAGATAGGGAAACGCTGATGGTAAAACATGAAATGCTTTTAGGTATTTGTGTAGGAGAAGATACAGAGGCTGAGTTCTTTGACAGGGTGCAGCAGGGCAGACCGAGGGAAGGCTGGGAGTGTGGGTGCCGGCGAGCGAGAGGTCTCAAAGTCTGTGTCACCTGTATGGTTACCCTAATTGGCATAATGCTGCTGCGGACAAAGGGGCAGTGAGATATAGCTGCCTCCAGGAATCATCCTCCATTGCAAACGTCACCAGCTTCCAAAGAACGAAGCGATTTTCCAGCCTCTTTTCCCATTAAGCGACCCGACCCTAGCACTTGCTTTGTTGGCTTCATCTGGCTGCTGTGGTCATGTGCAGTGAGTTGCCTTCCCTTCATCCCTTGACCTCTCTTGGTTTATGCAGTGCTTTGGCTGATTATAGCCTCAATACTGCTCATTTATTGTAACGGAGGCTTGCTTGCGTTAGTAATAACTCCCGATGTTAGCCTGAGCACCTCCGTAAATAAATTTGCCACTGTTGGAAGAAATAAGGTTCCTAATGACTGTAAAATTGCCTGGAAATTGTTTTTGTTGCCAGACAAGGTTAAGGAAAAGAACAAGAGAAAGTCTTTCTAGGAAGGTGCAGTGTTATGTACTGGATTGCAAACTGGAAGCAAGTTAGTAAATAATTTTAAAAAGTTTATTTAGGTCTACCTGTAAATTAATTCTATTCTGGACAACTTAATACCTGTTTTTCCTGGGACATTTTCCTTACTTGTCAAAGTTGAAGGCATTATCTCAGCACAGAATTCTTAATATTTATTATAAGACATTTCTCAGGCATTCATGCTGAGGCTCTGAACTCACAAAGGATCCCCAGATTCACCAGGAATCACTTTAGAGAAATGACGTGTTGAGGAACGACTCTTCAACACAAAAGAGATATTTGGTGACATTACCTTTTCCTGTCATTTTTAAATCTTAGCATATTGTAATAAAATCTAAAACAACTATAACCATGTAGCAATAAAGGAAGGATTTCAAAGCTTATTTAGGGATACTTTCTTCTTCTGACTTTCTAAAGTGATTGAAGAGGGTCCCTCTGCTAAAAAAGGGGGTTGAATTTCAACATTCCCTTCTTTAAGCCCTTTCTTTTATGTCACAGCATTGACCTTGAAAAGCTCTCTCAAAGTTTTGCAATATCAGACAAATCACATAACAAAAACTACTGCCTGTACAGCAGCTCTGACAACTGGAAGGTTGCTAGCAGATCGTTGGAGCTGGCCCACCGTGATCTGATGTATCGATAACACAGATGACAAACATGGCAGCAAAAAGTTTATACAGAAACCTCTCCTCCCAGCCTTCTTGCTCCACCCAGTGTTGTGCTGCTTCCAAGAATCACATTGGCTTTCTGTAACAGCTGGTTTTTAGGACAAACATGCACTGGGATGTCTTAAAGGCTATGAAGGATGGATAGAAGTTTTTCATAATAATAGTTTGTGGTATTCAAGGAATAAGCTTGGAATCATAACAGTAAGTAGCTAATGGTAAAGTCATAAGCGTGTAAAATAGGCAGTGCTATGGATGGCAAGTTCCCTCCCTTTCAGTTCAAATGTTATATCCTCTAAATGCCTGCAGGAACCTGTGCGTTTCTGAGTCTGTATGCAAACATATATACATTTGCATGTTATGTATACAGAGCTATATGCTACCTAAACAATGCCAGGAACTGCATGGTTGTGCCAGAACTACAGAGCTGAACCCAAGACCTTCACACCGTCAATTCAGTGGCAGCTGAAATCCCAGCTTTGGTTCTGATTTAGCCAATTTTTAAAGCATGCATTTAACTTGAGTCATAGGGTTAGCTCCATTCTTTGTAATGAGGCCACAAAGGTGCTTGAAATTTCATATACTCTTGAGTAGCTCACTTGGGAGCTGAAACTATAGTAGAAGTATGCAAAAAATAGTGCCGTAATATCCCCAAGCCATTTGTCAGTTCGCAAGGTAGTTGAAACTACTAAAAATACAGAATGTGGAATCTGAAGGCGAGCGAAGAAAAATATATGACAATGTGCATATGTAGTCGCTACTGATTAAGAAACAACAGTGTAGACTTTTCGTTACTGTTATTACTCAGTGTGATTTTATTTTTACTCTTGAGCTTTAGCTGAAAAAAATATGGTTTAGCCATCTGTCTGCAGAAAGATTTCTCAACGCTGCAGCAGTACGATTGCAGCGTTGGCAGATCCCCGCCAGTCGCTGCTTTCGCACGGCTGGGGAGTCACTGAGCCCCTCCAGATCCCACCTGAGTTTCACATCTCCAGCCACTTTTCTGCCGTCCCTCCAAACTCCAGCTTGGCGTCAGCCTGGCTGGGAGACACAGCTTCGTCTGGGCAGCAGACCCAGCTGCTGCCTTCTGAGAAACAGCCGTCTACCTGCAAGGGATTTCATAGTTTTTCCGTGACAAATAGATTTTTAAGTTCAGTGTCATTCCCATTCTGTGTGTAAGCAGTATTAAGGAATACAGTGATCTTTATATTCTTTTGAAGTGCTCAAGCAGTGTTTCAGCAGCAGCAATCTAAACCCTGTGTTATGGAACAAATAATTTATGGCAACTATTTAAAAATTATTTTCAGTTTCTCTGAGTTCTCTCTGAACGAAGCTTGCACAAATTCAGCAGACATATTCTTAAAACAAGCCTTAGCTAACACATGCAACAGTAAAGGAGAAAGCAAAATTACAGTGTTTGTGCAGAAACAAGAAATTCCTTTCAGTAACCGAAGTCGTTTTCAGTATCTGTACCTCCACCTAGAAACTGTCTAAACAGCAGCTTCCCGTGGGTTGAGGATATCACAGAATCACACGTTTGATGAGAGAGAGTAAAGAAGTGCCCAAAATAACTGTATTGACTGAAGAACTTTTGCTCCCTTGAGCGATGAAGAAAGGTCCTGCTATGTCCAGAAATGTTCTTTTCCTTCACCTGTAGCTCAGAGCAGCAAACACAGCTTCACGCTCCAGGCGCTGAGGCACTGCAGCCCGGCGCTGGGGTGAATCAGAAAGTTATTGGCAAATCACAACACCTGCCTGTGAGTTACGAAAGTGTGTTGAGAAAAGGGATGACAGATTTCAGCAGTAAAACTTTCTGGCTAACTGCCTGAGCTTTAACTACCCCAAAAGAAGTGAGGAAGTGTAAGCAGGCAAGAGGAGACACAGCATGAAGCGATGCCCGTGGATTCTGGGAGGTTTTTGGCCCTCCAAAGTTTCTGTTCTGTAACACTGACATTAATGTCAGGAGACAGTGACGTGAAGATCTGCATCTTTCGTTATACCTTGGACACCTAACGCCCAACCATGTTTTTCTTCTTTGTACTTCCTTAGATGCACTTCTTAGTGTAGTCACACCTAATTATATAATTGTATGATTGAGTTTGATTATATTCAAAGTATACATAAATAAAATTTAAAAAATAAAGCATTCTAATTCCCGCTACAAAAATGTAACTAAAATTAAGTTTATAGATGGTCAGTTAGAAAACCTAAAGCCGATGTCCTGGGGTTTGCAGCTTTTTGTTTCTCATTGTAAAATGTAAAAATATTATCCATGCTAAAGTCTATTTGCTTGCTGTCGATGATGATAGGAAGACAAGATATAATTTTAACCTGAGGAATTCCAGAGTCTGAGATTTATCCCATGTATTCTGTAGATGCTTCTTTACAGGCTTCCTTGTGAGGTTGTATGGTATCAGTGCAGACTGGAAGGGGTTTTCTTCTCGGTTCTGCAAACCATAACTCACAGCATTGGTACATTGATGTGGGAACACGGTTAATGGATTAGGAGGAAAAGACTTTGCCTCAGAAATGTAGCGGAAACAGCTTAACAATTATCGGGTATCCAGTTCTTAAACCATGAGAAGTGGAATTAAAGGATGCATGCAGTAGATGATCCACAGAGGCTGAGGTACATCCAAGGCGCATGGCTACATAAACAGTGAGCGAGTTGCGTCATTCCTACTTTTTAAAAAAACTTCCTGGTCTGTCAGTAGTTTTAAGTATGCAGGTCACTGAAGATAGAGGGAGATTTCTAGGCAGGACAGAAAGAATCAAATTTGCTCTTTTTGCTCATTTCAGCTCATCACAGTGAAATTTATTTGGACTTTCATTATAACCACCAAGTATTTCACATTATTAACCTTTAAGTAGTTTAAATGAAGTCTATATAGTTTACTGCATTTACTTTGAGTCATGGATTATACAATAACACAATGGTTTCTCAGCAGGATTAAAACCTGAGTACATTAAAATTCAATTAAAAGCCTGTGACAAGTGCAGTGGTTGACTCAGACCGTTAACAGGGATTGTGTCTCTAAAATGAACTGCTTTGTTGCTGCGCCGGGGAAGGCAGACATATGTTTGTTATAACCTCGTGGCGTGTCAGGATCTCCTGTATTTGAGAAAGTGCTGACATTGGTTTTTTCTTGATTTCTGTTTCTTCCTAGTTAGCCAACCAACATCACAATGACTACTGAGAATTTAGACCACAGATTCAGTAGTCTCACCTGGGATCAGATTAAAATCCTGGATCAAGTTTTAGCTGAGGTCATACCTATTCATGGGAGAGGAAATTTTCCAACGCTGGATGTAAAGCCGAAGCATATCATTCACGTCGTAAAGGAACAGCTCATTGAAAAGCAGATCAATGTGAGAGATATCCGTCTGAATGGTTCGACAGCCAGTCACATCCTAGTAAAGCAGAACGGAACCAGTTATAAGGACCTAGACATCATTTTTGGGGTGGAACTTCCAAGTGAGCTTGAATTCCAAGTTGTTAAGGAAGCAGTTCTTAATTGCCTATTGGACTTCTTGCCAAAATGTGTTAACAAGGAAAAAATCACTGCTCAGACCATGAAAGATGCCTACGTACAGAAGATGGTCAAAGTCTCCACCAACCACGATCGCTGGAGTCTCATCTCACTGTCAAACAACAGCGGCAAGAACGTAGAGCTAAAGTTTGTCAACTCACTCAGACGGCAGTTTGAGTTTAGCGTGGACTCCTTCCAGATCATACTGGACTCCATACTGAATGTTTACAGAGCAACAGACTGTAAACTGACAGAAGACTCTCACCCCACTGTCATCGCCGAGAGTATGTACGGAGACTTCGACAAAGCAATGGACCACTTGAAATACAAACTGATTTCCACCAGGAACCCAGAGGAAATCAGAGGAGGCGGCCTCCTGAAGTACAGCAATCTGCTGGTTCGTGACTTTAAGCCAGCGGATGAGGCTGAAATTAAATCTCTGGAGCGTTACATGTGCTCCAGGTTCTTCATTGATTTTCCAGATGTTGCCGAGCAGCAAAGGAAAATTGAGTCATATCTGCGCTACCACTTCATCGGGGAAGAGAAAAGCAAGTATGACTACTTGATGACTCTGCGCAGAGTTGTAAACAAGAGCACAGTCTGTCTCATGGGACATGAACGAAGACAAACTCTGAATATGATCACAGTTCTGGCTTTAAAAGTACTCGGAGAACAAAATATCATCCCAAATGCAGCCAACGTAACGTGCTATTATCAGCCTGCTCCATATATCAGTGACAGAAACTTCAGCAATTACTACGTTCCTCACGGACAACCACCTATCATCTACCAGCCATACCCATTTCACATGCAAATGCAAAGCGGCATGGTTTAGAAACGTGATAACGTCCTCAGCACTTACACTTCTCTCTCTTTCCAGTTCTCTCCATAATAAAGGCCTCATTAAAGCAAGTTTTATCATCACTTTTTATTTAAGGACATATTTTTGTGCAAGTTGCCAAAGCTCTTCGGTTTGTCAGTGTCTAAATCACCATTAGGCAGATCGTAAAATAAGTGAAACGGTTGTCATTGCTCATGATGTGTTTATACCCCTACATGTGTTTTGGCTATACTTTTTTTTCAATGAAAAAAGAAGGATATAAATTATTCTAATTTTATAAAATGAAATGCACTAAGTTCTGGGTTCTAAAAAATTCTTAAGCAAAATTTAAATAGTGTAAATGAAAAATTAAGCCAATAAAATACCTCTCAGTAGAAATGCCTGATTTTACAAGTGATAGTGTTCTGGGTACAGTAGGTCATCCATTAGTTCTATCTGTGCAATTCCAGCAACATTTATTTGCAGCACCTTTTGAAAATATGCATTGATGGGCTGTCTCTTGGTGGTTTGAGGTCTGCTTTGTAGCAGAACTGGTCTGATCACTGTTCAGCTCCCACGAGAGACGCGAGGTCCCTCTGCTCGCTGGAGTACTGTTTAGTCACGGCTAGCAGGAAACACTCCTACCAAGAGCAGACTCAGCATTTTTGTGTATCCAAAATTTCCAATGATCTGAGTGAGAGATTTGGCTGCTTAAGTAGTGCAGCATTGGACAGCAGGATCTGCCTCACAGATAATGAAAGTTGTAAGAGATACAACTATTCTGATTAAATTGGTCTTGAAAAACGAGATAATAGAATAAGAAGGTGAAAATTGAGGACACAGGGCTTGCTTTCTATTGCTAATCTGTTATTGATCAGAGATGCTTTGATGCATAACAGAGTCAGGAAAAAAACAAAAAAGCCCAGGACTGTGCTGTTTTTAGGTGAATTAACATAAATCCTTGGCAGTGGCATTTGAAAAAATATTTTATACTAGCTATGTCCAGTACATGTTTAGATACCTGCACACATACAGTAGTAGCAAACGAAGATTTCTCTTATGATTGGGAAGTAAAACATTAGTTACAAGTTTTTGTGTGTGTGAGTGTTTACCAAAGAGAAGTTTTAAACATGTCACTTAAGTGCCTCCCCCCTGTGCCAGTTGCTCCGTGGAAGTCGTAATGCTGTTGGGCAATCGTGCTAGAGAGCTCCTGGATTGCAGAACGGGAGACCTGCGCTTGGTGCTCCACCGCCGGGTCGCAAAGCGCTCGTAGCACTGAAGGTGAGAGGTGTGCGCCCTTTGCTTCGGCACGAGCAGGTCCGGGACAGATGGAGCTGAGGGGTTCTCACCAAAACTCCTTCGGTTTAGGTGCTGGATGTGGTCCGAGAAGGAAGAGTAATGAGAAGGAGATTTAGAATGGGCGCGGTTGTAAAGTTGGAACAGCCAACTGGAAATGCAGGCGGTAGAGTTTCTTACGTCCGATGCTCAACACGTCACTGTGTCATACTGCGAGCTCGCTGCGGGTGCATCGCTGTGTGTCCTCCTCGTCATCTTTAAAAACATGGACTACGTTTTACCGATTTACAATGGGTGTCAGGTCTTGGAAACTTCTGTTACTTGGGAATGAGTGTTTATTTTACACAGAAATACGCTACATGCCACTCTTCTAAATCAAACATTGCTAAAATTTCGAAGGTCTGTGAAGTCCTATTACCAGTGAAATGTAGCTTTGCTTTTTCCCATTATATGCCCGTACAGCACAACAAAGAGCTTTTAAGACAACTGTGCTGACCATCATCACTAAAGTCAACTTTTTTCTGTAAAATCTAGTGCAAAAAACCATGTTTCTGCAACATGAGCAGGGTATACTAATCTACTTGGAAGCTAATTAATTTTGTGATGTCTTTCATTAATATAGCACTATTAATTTTGCTTATTTTTCAAGTATCTCTGAATCTGTGTCTAAAAACACACTTTATTTCACTTCCACCAGTATCTTTCCATTGGCTGATCTGTATTAATAAAATTCTGATTGCTATGTTATCAACTGTGATAACACTGTATTTGCATGTAAGCACTTCTAGGGAATTCCCCCTGTCAGAAGCAAAATGGAGTGAAACATCGTGGATTTTTTTTTTGTTTTCTAATTGAACTGTTTAGATTACAAAGGGAACCTTTAAATTTAGTTTGGTTTTTGCCAAATTAAATAGCACTGTGAAATTCTGTAAGAGCCTTATGTATGTTATGTCCCTGCTAACGCTTCTGCTGCAACACACAGCACGTGTGATCTGCAGGCGCAGGCGGGACTTTCCGATGAATCTCTGCGTGTTAGGCATCCAAATGCCTGGAGTTTCAGGAGCAACCAGGCTCCTAAACTCCCTAAATCTGTTTGAAAATCTCAGTCCGTCTCCATTGGCCTGTGACCTTAAGGTGATGCAGCCACATCAACTTATTACTCCTCCACTGCTGGTTTCGTTGCTTGCTGGGTGGAGAAATGGGTTGATCTTCTCAAGAACCAGGGGACAGGTCAGCCAAGCAGGAGCATTTCCAGCATGTTGTGTATAACCAATGATCCATTACCTAGAGGCGTATTTTAAAGAGTTGTTTTCAACCAACAAGTAGAAACATGTATTACCCTGTATAAAGGACTACAATTCTTTTTTGAACCAGGCATGGTGAAAAGTGTCAGGAATGGTGAACTAGCTCTGGATTAGTATAAACCAGCCTGTCTGCTTGGACAGCAACTGTTTTTTTAAATATACATATTTAATTCTGTTACATCTCTGTTTATACATCCAGGTTAGGTAAGGAAGGACTCAGCCAAAGTCCACGGAGTTAGTGGGAAGAATCCACCTAACTCTAACAGGCTTTGTGTGAGACCCCAGAAAAGAGGAAAGGACTTATGTGAGTACCTAGAGGTAAAGGTACAAAGACATCAATATGCAAAAATGTCTCAGGTATAAACCCTTTAAACTTACTGAAAAAGGTCTTGTATTTCTTACCTAGAGGTGGTTCAATTTTGAAGGTTAAGTGAGGTTTATGATTTTATATATGCATACATATATAAAATCTTACATATCTACACATATGCGGGCAATTAACAAAACCTGATGGTTTTAAATATTTCCTTCCAAAAGTTACACTGATACCTGGCAGCAGTATTTGACCCGGAGATTTCTTTTTCAAGGTAGTACTGATTCTGCAAAACAGAAAATTTACAAAATTAAAAAAAGATGATGCATAGACTGCTGCTTGCGAAACATTGACATCGATATGTATGATGAAATATTGTAACACTTTCTCCAGTTGTTACTGATTTTACTATGTGCAGATATAAATCTACGAAGAGTTGAGAGAATTTTCTCAGTTCCGGTCTCCTGAGCTTCATGTTTACATTATAATTATATCTTGTTGTTATAATCTGTTCAATAATTATAATACATGGAAATTGTAATGCTGATTTTATTGAATCACATCAAACTTCTGAAGGTTTACAGCTTATAGTAATCTACTGTTGTCAGGACCTAAGTGTTAAAGTTTCAAGTGCTTTCCTAAAAAATGTCATTTGAAGTTTGTGTTCTATTGTAAAAGGTCCGTTTGAAGCATATACTTTATGGTAGTTCCTTTAAAATGTAATTTGTGAGCTTTCTACTCGACACATTACAAAGGTTTTTGTGAGGGATAAATGAAACATGAAATTGTCCTCAGTCGAGATGTTTTGTTGTCTGTTGTTGTGTTACACGGAGCCGGCAGATCTGTGAAATAATGGATCCGATTGACCACCGCGTCACTTCGGTTTTCTAGCTGTGCAATTTTACTGATGTCAGAGAAGTTACGTCAACACAAACTGGGAGTTACACAGGGGTGTATCCAATATGACTTGTAGGAGGATCTTGAGAAGGGACAGCAGAGAGAGTCTGGCAGGTCAGCACGGTTCCCACAGCTCAGTTTTCCTTCGGTACGTTTTTCCGTTAAACTCAACAAATGAAAGGGTATTCAGGACAAAGCTGTTGCCGATGAAGGAGGTATTATTTCACTCAATGTGCCATCTGAAGCTGTTGAAAAAGTATTGTAATGCTAAAAATGTGTACTAATCACACGAATTTGTAGGTCATTAGTCCACAGTGTTGACTAGTGCCTTTGGGTATTTGGGGAGCGATCATTAAAACAACTTTCTTGGTTAACGTGTGGTTTGCTTGTAAGACCTTCATTATTCTGCGTGGACGTGAACTCTAGCACGCAGACTTCTGCTAGCAGCCAAACTGGCATATTGCAACTACACGAGTGCGAAAGGTTCGGTCGCGGTCTGTTAGGTCAGTAAACCCCAAACTCCGACCTACAGCTGATCCAGCGTCGGACCCACACTGCGGGTTACAGAACGACCGGATCCTCATCCATGTCGTTGAGACGTTCCAATGGCTCCACGTTAGCTGTCAAATGGGCTGGTGTCAAATTCTCACATTTTTTGAAGTGCCTAGATATATATTTATATCATAAAAACATTACTGTCTACTAGGTAAATAAAATGAATGCTTAACTTGACAAATGATTTGACTTTACATGTGCCTAAAAATACATTTTACCTGTGCTGAACGCACATTCCCATAAATCTACACATGTAATTATCCAGGCTGTAGAATTTCTGTCGAGTATGAGCACGGCCATTGCCATTGGGCCAAGATCAGAAAGACTCCTACAAGCTCTGAGTTTTCAGCTGAGCGACAGAACCACATTCAGCGGTTAGACTTCTGCTGGCTTACTTGGATTTTTTGGGGTTTTGGCATTTGGGGTTGGGCTTTTTGTTGGTTGGTTGGTTTTTTTTGTTTCATGGGCTAGGTTTTAAGCTACAGCTTATTCCTTCCAGTGTATTTTTTAAAAACAAGACGACGATATTGTTCTTTCTTCCTGGGGGTGTCAATACACTGTTAGGTCCTATGGGCCCTCTGGTGCCTTACAGAGGAGGGGGAGGAACGTGCCGGAGGTTTTAGCCCCGTATGAGAGCTCAGAAATTCCTGATTTGGGTGTTTATTGCCTTTTAGCCACCTGCGGTTTGCGTACGGCAAAGATGCTGCCAGTTGGTGGAAATGG